ATCATGACACTAAAGCTTCATGTTGATATTAGTATAGCATTTCCTCCCAAATAAAACTTATTAATTTTGCTTTCAGAGCGTCATAACCAGCGATTGCACGATTCATGAGCGCTCACTCTGAGTGAACGTTCACGAATCATAAAATCGCTGATTGTGTTTTATATGTCAAACAAATACTTGTCAACCTCATCTTGTAACTTACAAGTACAACACTTTAAACTAATATATGGAAATTGAAATCTAGAAATGCAGCATTTATTAACAGTCATAATACCATACCTGCATAATGCGTGACGATGCCGTGAACAAGCTCGCTTTAGTGCAACGAGACAAGCGTATTGTTTAACAGCATAGTTCTAGTTTTATTATGATGTTTTTTACGACTGAAACCGGAAGAGTCCTGCAACTTCTCCTGGAAGTTAAGGTTCTACAAAGAGTAATTAAATTTGTATTCGTCTTCTTTTTGAAACATTCTTCAATCATTGGTTTACACATACATTCTCATTTTATTAATGCAAAAATTTAACACTGGTATTTTATGATTTTAGAACGAAAACTTCCTGGGTAAAACATATTCACTGTATTTACTTACTTGTGTTCTTCGAAGTGTAGCACAATAACACACAATCGAATACACAAAATCCAAAACAACTGCTACTCAAAACTCTTGGTGAACAAAATTGAACACCAAGAAAACCACTTCAACTTTACTGCTTTGCCGGCAATAGAAAAGTATCATTGAAAAAGCGTTTCCAGATATATTGCCTCTAGCAATGGATTTAAGTTTATTAAAACAAGCAATTGTGAAGTTTGACTCATTAATATAGATGAGTGGATGTATTTAATGGTGAATAAATATCAGAAACTGAGTAAATAAAACAAAAACGACCATTTTAGACATTTAACTGGTCCAATTTAAAAAGCCACAGAAGATTGAATTCAACACTAACAGGGTTCAGAGTTGGTTGGAAATGCTAATATGAAGCTTTAGTGTGATAATTTATTAGCTAGAGAATGATCTTTAGAAGAGGGTAGGTGGATAGTTCCGTTAGAGTACGGCAGTATGAAAATTGAATAGAAGTTGAAAATGAGCGAAGGGCCATTAATGCGACAGTTTTTAAAGATCGACGCACATCTTTGCCTAACCCGTACGATGTACGCGGAGACTTGAAGTATGTCTCCAAGTCTACAGGCAAAAATTTGCGTCCCTTTTTTTGCTCATAAACTGACTGCGGCTGTGGAATAGTTCTAGCGACGTTTCCATCACTACCTAAAGCCCCACGTTGCGAGAGCATTTCCAGTCGATGGTGTGTTATAATGCAATTCTTCTTTCCCCAACTATTGTGTTGCTCCTCTCGTCATGACCAACGTGATCATCTCAGAGAGAAAGCAGTAGGGTGGTTGTTGCGTGCTGTACCATCATCAGCATTGTTGACGGCTACTCCCGCCTTGAGTTGTTACATTCAAAGTGTTTTTATGTTACTTCATACGCGAAGTTAGCGATTTTCAGAGTTGGTTGGAAATGCTAACATGAAGCTTTAGTGTGATAATTTATTAGCTAGAGAATGATCTTTAGAAGAGAGTAGGTGGCAGATGGGTTGATGGCAGCAGTGCACGTAGCCTGGTATTCGCTTTCCCGCTAAGGGGTGTAAACAAACTTCCATACAGTGAAGTCTGACAGTGTGAACGTTTTGTCTGCTACATTCTTATGCACTAGATAGTGTGACATCACATTTGCTGTTGTATTGAAATGAAGGAAGAGAAGCGATGGTTAAATTTTCCTCACCATACCAGTTGATATTTATGAAACATGGGCAGTTTTGGCGCGGGGACATGCACTTCCTATGAATTTTACCCATACATTTAGAAAATGATGATCGAAGAATATTTCAAAAAGAAGTAAACAAATTATTGACCCTTTGTAGAACCTTAACCAATTCTAACGAATTAATTTAAAAGTTCCTTCCGAGTACCCCGAAACAGACATGCCCAGGAAATGCCTGCCGTCTTCTTCTGGAAGTTTCTCCAAACTATTTCTAAAAGTTTCTTCAGACTTGCCCCGGAAATTTCTTCCGTCTTGGATGTCGTAGGTCTGTCAGCTTCCTCTAGAAGTTTCTTCTAACTTTCTCTTGAAACTTTTTCTGGCTGCTCTGGAAGGTCTTTCCAACCTCTCCAAAAAGTTTCCATCAGTTCTTCACAGAGTTGATTTCCCGGTAATGATTTTTTTTTTTAGAGTTTTGCCGGATATAATTTAGCATGCTTTTTTAACAGTTTCCTCTTTAAATCAAAATAGCTTCGATAGAATTTGGTAAACTTAGTGGAAATTAATTCCCAGGATGTCACTGGTACTTCAACAATACATATAATTGGTTGAAATTAACTCAGCTATAACTTTTCCGAAGAATGTATACCTTAATTTCTTCAAATAAAAAAGTTAGATTTTTGAGTTTAATGATAATAAGAACCACCCTAGAATTCATTGTCATTAAAATGAGGGCCTAACAAAAAGGAACAACTTTGTAGAAGAAACTTTTAGTCTAAAGTTTCAATTCAGGCTCAAAACATATCCTTCCACCTAAATTTGCATTCTAAACCACTGTGCACTGTGCCAAATACATACTTTTCAACCTCTTATTATATCTTACATCTATAAAAGATAATTTAAAATCTAATGATTTCATAATTCCGATAAACAATGTTAAACATTGTGAGTAGAAGTAGCCTGAGTGTAAGTATCTTAATAATTCTAATTAATTGAAAAAATGGATAAAACTGAGTTCTCCAAAAAATGGAAGATTTCAAACTTCAACTGTTTTACTGGATTCGTCCAAAAAAACTGCAAGAATCCAAATTAAACTGGGATGTTGGCATCACTGCCAGTGAGTTTGCAGCACCTATTTGAATCAATATATGGTGATCCTCTTGATAAGTTAATGCTTACTTGGCATGATATAATCGGAAACCACTAGATGTCTGTGAAACGTTATTTTGACATACAAGATCAATGTCAAATATAAGAGGTCTGCCATGAAAAATGATTCAATTTGAAAGGACCGCAGATGACGAAACTGAAAAAAAAATACGAGTACTGACCGGTTGGTTCAGCTGTTGAGATTCCGGTAAAAAATTACCGACCACAATATATTCTGAGTGCGTACATAACATAATCAACGAATCATCATGGACAAATCGTCGCTGTTGAGTAAACTATGATGGGCAGTACGCTCAACAGATGGCGGTAGTGTGTAAACGTCAAACGCATGGGAATTGACTACATAGATGGCGGAACTACCGACTATGAAACATTTAAATTTACCGTTTATTGTACGTTTGATTAATAACTTGCGAGAGTTAGGTCTGTTTGTCTGTGCTATAATCATCAATACAAGATATAATCTATCACTTCGTGATTAGTATTTGCGTTGACGAGAGTGCTGTTTTTCACCCCTATTCCCTATTTCGATTGAAAATTATTTCCCAGTTTTTCACCGTTAGAATTTTTTTCCTTGATTTGTTTTCCGTCGATCTTGTCTTCCGTACTGAATAACAATGCTATCGACGCCAGGAAGGTAGCTCCCACACCTGGACCCTACCTTTCGCCCATCAACTAATGGACCGGGGACCAACGGCTTTACTTCCCCGAAGGAAGGCGTGATCAGACATTTTATGCCTCAGAAAATTCAAACGGCGCCACCCAGGTCTATTGGAGTAAAAGGCAATCACGCTTACCACTACATTACCGGCACCCCTTCCGTTAAAATTATGATGAAATCAATTAAAAAAACAAAAACAAGATTTGTTTTACTTATCATTTACACGGAAGCATTTTTCCACACCACATGTCATGACGAATCCAAGTAACAATTCAGCATACGCGAAATATTTTTGGGAAAAACCGTGAACTTCACACCAAATACCAGCCAGATGATCACCATTTCGAATGATGACTCATCCATTAGGTACCTATTCAGCGTCGTGCGTGGCGATTGATTTTTCGTTTTCTTCTGAACACGACGGTGCCAGACAGCAAAGGAAAATTAACTCGGTTAGGCTTGTAAATATAAATAAACAACACAAAGTCTGCACCGCATCTGGCTTTCCACATACCAACAAAGAGCAGACGTCCTGGATTTAAAATGGTGCAAAAAGAAAAATCGTATAATTGGCGTTAAGGGTATTCGCGGGAAGTATTGTGATAAATGGTAAGCAAGTCATCTTAAAATTTGTCCACTACGTGCCCCATCTTCAAACTGAGCACCAGTAGAACGTGGGCCTCAGATAGCTTAGTCAGTAAAGGCACTTCCCTGGACATAGAGTATCATTGTGATTTTAACACACAATATACAATTTCATGCATTGGTTGATCTAGAAAGCTCTCAATTAATAACTCTAGAACTGCATCTCACGAGGCCTCCCTTAACTCAGGCGGTAAAGGCGCAGCTACAAAGCAACACCATGCTGGAGGTGGCTGGGTTTGATTCCCGATCCGGGCTAGGAATTTTTCGGGTTGAAAAATTTCTTGACTTCCTTGGGCATAGAGTGTAATTGTACTTTCCACACAATCATACTAATGCAAAAATGGTACAGGCATCGAAAGCTCTCAACTAATAACTGTGGAAGTTCATCTTCAATACTAAGTGGAATGCTCGCAATAAGCTAATATGCGATAAGCAATAAGCTTGAAATGCGACGAAGAAGAAAAAGAGCTGCATGTATAACACTAAGTTGAGAGTCGAGAACGCCTGAGAACGTTTACAAATTTACAAACTATAACAAATGAGTTTTAATTTGAAGATAATTAAATGAATCTCAAACTCCATTTCAAGTGAGTCCAATCTCCACATCCAAGTTAATGGCAGATTCCCCACAAACCCCCCCCCCCCCTCAATATAACCTAATTAGTCACCGCACAATAAATTCGATCCCATTTCCCCACATGTGGCCAAGACCGTTCCTAGTGCAATAACAAAAATAAATTCCCTAACTACGTCAATACTCACACTGCTAAACATTCCCTCCACTATGGGTATGGAAACCGCTTGGAACGGAAATTCCTTAACGGTGGCCGAGTCATCTGAAGATTCAGAACCACCCGGCATGGGCATCGGCATCGATGGCATCTGAGGAGCGCTGTAATCGGAGTCCGGAGTTGGCATCGGCATACCACCTCCTCCGTAGCTTGCGAATCCCATCGTCGGATATGGAAGGCTGGGAGCGGCAGGAGCTGGGGCATAACCGCCGGGCGATGGCTGAACAACTCCAGGAGCAAACCCATATGACAGAGAGTGACCGGAAATTGAAGGATTCAAACTGGAATAACCGGACGAATCCGGCGTTGGCATTTGCATGGGATACGAAGGTTGGTTTAGAGCTGCTGGGTTAACCCAACCGAACCCGTTGGCATTCCAGTTGCGTGGATAGTTGTAATTTTCGTTGAAAAACGACATTTTGATATTAAGCCCGTATTTGGCAACGTGAAGGATTACTTGTTCTTAACGTACGAAACACCCGACGACGACGACGACGACGACGACCGTAACGACGACGCACGACGAAACACGCGACTAGACACGCGGAGCGAAATGACCTTTCTCAAGCGCGAATATATTGCAGCTGCAATTGTCCGGTTGTACAGGACACTGGATCGATCTGTAGACTCTCTTGAGCAATTCACAAGATTTCTCGTTAAAAATAGCACTGTCGATGACACACTTCACTAACAACGCTTATCAATCTTTTATCACTAGCGTGTAAACAGAAAACATCTGTTGAGGTCACTCGTCCGTCAAAAACAAGGGTCGAACTGAATTTCACCAGAGTTTTACACGTCCCAATCCACGGACGGTTCGTGTCAAACTGATTCTTCGGATTCACAACGCTTTCCACGAAAATCAGCAGTTTTGCACAAACCAATTTCTCTCCGGTCTATTTATAAACATTCACTGCGATTCATGCATGGGACCTAGTGCCGCACCTTTCTATTTCATCTGTTTACTTGATTTTGTTTTGACTACGCACTGTTTTGTACTGCTTACATTAACTAAACTGCTAATAAACTTTAACTTTACTTATTTTGGCACTACATCTATCGTCTTTTTCCGAAGGTCCCAAAGCACGACTTCCAGATGTTTACCTTACGACCGAAAACGCAGAACTGATTGACCAACCAAACAAATTGATGCGAAATATTCAAGGTTGGCTACGGCCGAACGATGACAATTGAGCCGAACGCTCCCGAAAAGGGGCACGTTCACGCAGTTCTGTTGCAGTGGTGTGTGGTTACACATCGGTATCGCAAACTGCTCCGTTGGATAAGATGTCTAGAAGTATTGGTGCCACCCCAACCAGGTGAACACGGGAACCACGTGAATGAATCAAACTGATATTTATTAACTTTATCAATTTCGTCGAGTATCAGACAAAGCGCGCGACTGTTAATTCGTTGAGTAAATACTTAGCAGTTCTTAGGTTGTCTAAATACCTAACAGTTGTACACCCACGTTGGATGCCATTTCCAAGTGGATCCACTCAGACGGATATTTAAAATTTTATGCAAAATATGAAACCCAGCGGCCATCGGGAATCCCAAATGATTAATTTACATTCAAGAGTGTATAACTTTCATATATGAAGGTCGTAATTTCCCATGGAAAGGTGAATAAATTTAGAAGTCATCTTTGACAGAAATATTCCATTTTTTGTTCAAACCCGTTCAATAAAGAGGGGTAAGAAATTAGGTCGTTGACACTTTTAAGCAAGGTTAGCATTTTCGGAAAGAATTAATTTGAATCTTTGTGCTAAAACCAAATATGGGTCATTCCATCTCACGTGACCGAGCAATTGCATCGACCCTTTGAACCGATTTGAACCAAAATTGTTGGGTCTACTTTTTTAGGTTAAAACTAAAAAAATCAAAGATTTGTGTCAATTGGCCTCTCCCGGCCCAAAAGACTGCCCCCCATTTTTGATGATTGTTAATGAACACCAATTTCCATTTTTACATTTTTACACTTAATCACGGCTTCCCTGTTCGGTATTTTTTTACAGTAACTGTAAATTACAAAAATTCCGAATATTCAGCTGTTCTAAATAAAACTACTGATGTTCAGTAGCTTTTGCGACAAACTATTGAGTACGGTAATAGCATAGAGGTAATATCAAGTACTGTATTTTCCATAAAATAACAGCTTTACGGTGAAAGAGTAAGGCTGCGATACATTTAGTGAATTTTCACTTAAATTTGACAATTCGAAAATAAATATTAATTTTCGAAGATCCCTCGGCTGTTGATCTTCCGATTTTCGAGAAGGTGTTTGCATTATCAATTATGTTTTACTGAACAGTCATCAAACGTAATTCCAAAATTGATGATCTCACCAATAAGTCAACCTGCTTGCGTCATTCTCTTACGTTTCACATCGCGCACTTGACCTCGGAAATCTCTGTGTGATAACAGAAAACCTTTGTCAAAATAAGTGAAACATCTGGAAGCTAACGCAGAAGTGCAGAAACTGCCACGAAATTGGACATCACTTCCAGATGTTTCACTGATTTTGAAGCTAAAACCGAGGGGGACGACTCTATCTACGATGCAGAAAAGATTCTGTTTTGCTGTGGCTAGCTGCATGGTGAGTAGATAGAAGGAAGATTTTGAAGATTTCCTGCAAAAAGATGAAGTACGATGCAAGTAGATGCAAGAAATGAAAGATGATTTTTGAGATTTAGATGTGTCGCCCCCTTCGGCTAAAACGTTCAATAATATTGAATGAAGAATTAAATTGGGTTGTTAGTGGAATGCTTAAATAAAACAGCGAAAATGGTTATCTTCCATTTAATTCCACTTAATTAATTTTGGTATCCATGACAGATACGTATTTCGACTACATCGGACTTCATCGGTGTCATTCCCACTAAAGACTTATCAAAAACCTAACCCCCTTAAGTACTCATCCCCTACACCCCCTACTCGCGGGGGGGAAAAATGCGGTTTTAGAGCAAATTGTAAACAATTTCGGTCGCTGTCCCATACAAAAATCCAACATGGCTGAATCACGAATTTGACACATTAGAACACCTACACAGAAATTCAAAACAACCCAAAATTAAGTTCTTTTCACTCATCTCCCATGTTCCGTACGATAAGCCAAATTTGGGTAAACCGGCTCAAAGTAGTTTGCATTTAAGCACGGCAAAAAAAATTACCTATCGCTAAGTTATTTTCAATTTTTTTCTACCCAAAATTAAGTTCAATTAACTCAAATTTGGGTATATCGCATATTACTCAATTTTGGCTTCTCGTACGGAACTAGACGGTTGAGTCGAATCTTTCGTTCTATTTTTGACAACAATAGCGAGAGGAAATAAAACGGGCAGAGGTCAAGTAACTCAAATTTGAGTTTAAAAAACCCAAGCGGTGGGTAGTTTTGTTTTTCTGTGTATATGTAGCCACCTTGGAGAAAAGGAGACAAACTAGTCAAAAGTAAGTAAAAGTGAACTTTCCGTTGGGTACTTTTTTCTTACCGTGTAGGTAAAAGGGGGTTAGGTTTTTGATAAGTCTTTAGTGGGAATGACACTGATGAAGACTGCACATTGTAGTCGAAATACGTTTCTGTCAAGGATACCAAAATAATTAAGTGGATTTAAATGGAAGATAACGTTTTTATTTAAGCATTCTGCGATTTCCAAGTACGAGGTGGCCTCTCAACGGCTAGCAAACCCATCGACTTCGTCCGTAAGCAGTTTTTGAGTTTCTCCGGACACGAACAACCTGAGGATCAACCACGATTTCACCTGGCAGGAGCTTCAGTTCGCGCTTAGTAGAAGCAACGGGAAATCAGCCGGCCCAGACGAGATCGGCTACCCACTGCTCAAGAACCTGCCTACCCCGGGTAAAGTAAAAATGCTGGAACTCTTCAACCAGCTATGGCAGACAGACTCGTATCCAGAGCATTGGAGGGAGAGCTTGGTTATCCCCATCCCTAAAGCAAACGAGCCGACACGGGACGTGGCGAAGTTCCGTCCCATTGCGCTTACCTGCTGCATGGCAAAGGTGTTCGAGCGGATGGTCAACCGACGCCTGAAGCAGTTTCTTGAGTCTAGCGGCCTTCTAGACCATCGCACAGTGGGGCAGCGAAGCCATTCGTGTGGCCAAAACCTCTAGCGCCGTTGGTTTGCTTTCTACAGCAATACAATGTTCTACAAAGTTGCTCAATACTAAAAGCGCCATCTTTTGAAGGTTTCATATTAGTTCATTTTTACGCCACATAGGTGGCGCTTGAGTCTATCTTTTGAACGGAGCATCCTAGCCGAATGGTTTTTGAGGCAAAGTTGTGTAGTTTGAAGTGTTGAGAAATTTTGTCCACTACATCAAAACTCTATGACTCATATTAAGCGAGATATCGGGCAATTAGGAAAACTAACCTCTAAAATTGCGTTTTTTCCTTTTTTTCACCTCTATACGTCAAATGTATATGTTTTATACTCTGATAATTATCAAAATGGTTTGACTCATCCAATAAATACCCATTACTTTATATAGGGTAAACGCTCCTATAGTTGCGGTACGTTAGAAGCGTTAGGTTCCTATAGTTGTGTATTGAGTCTCCATGCACAACTATAGGAACCTAACGCTTCTAACGTACCGCAACTATAGGAGCGTTTCCCCTATCATGCTTTATTATAAAGTTATTAACATAAATGTCTCAAAAAAGTGATGTATAAAAATGTCAATTACTCACACATGCATATTCTCTGACATTTAGTGACTCCAACACGGTAAGCATATTCCCTGGGATTTAGTGACTCCAAGCATATGTTACACAACAGCGTTACGCAATCACTATACTCGTAGTGTTGGCAACACGGCATTCGTTCGCCGCCTATCGAGTCCAAGCCGACTGCAATGCAGCAGCAGCTCACTCCTCATCTTTCGTATTCAGGACGTCAACGGAGTAAGTCGTCTTCATCGGTCGGGGGCGATTCTTCCCAACGGAAAGTCGAATCCACAAAATGGCGATCCTGCCAGACCTTTTTCGTTGCCGAGAGACGAAAAAAAAGGGTTAATTTCCTGGCACTTCTTGTCCACTGTGGAAGAATTGCCCCCATTGTTTTTTCGAAAGTGAAGTGAAGTGAAATAATTGAAATCGCAAATTGTGTTATTTCTTTTTTTTTCCTACGTTTTCTACGCGAGTGTTTTAGCCAGAATTTTGTGCAGTATGTGTGTGTGTGCAACAGATTTGGCTACCGTTGAGCTTGGTTTTCCAAGAATGGCGTGTTATAGTGCAGAATGTTTTGCTGTTGGATGGCTCAGGCAATCCAATGCAAATGGCGCACTGATGAACTTGCCAGATTTCACGCGATGTCGTTGTTTTGCTGTCGTGCGGCTCTTAGGAGTCGCAGCGCAAATTTCAGATTGCAGCGGAACGAAAATGTGTACCACAGTGCAGGTTGTTTTGCTCTTGAATGGTTTAGGCTATTCAATGCAAATGGCGCACTGACGAATACGCTAGTTTCAATGGCGATGTTGTTGTTTTGCTGTCGTGCGGCTCTCAGGGGCCGCTGCGCAAATGTCACATCGCAGCGGAGCGAAATCCGAGACACAGTGCAGGGTGTTTTGCTGTCGAATGGTTTTTGCCATCTATCGCAAATGGCGCACTGACGGTGCCGATGAATTTGGCGGCGATGTTGTTGTTTTGTTGTCGTGCGGCTCTTAGGAGTCGCTGCACAAATGTCACATCGCATTTGGTGGTTGTGTTGCACAGTGTTTGATGTCAAATTTCATACTGTTGGAGTAGCTCAATCGTGTTGTTTCGCTGTCGTTGTGCGAATGTCACACCTTTCATTGCTGGAGATTGTGTATCATGAGCAAATACGCACTGATATAGCTCTTCTACTGTTTGTCTGATGAACTTGTGTCTTCGCATGAGACTGATGAAATACTTTACTGCAATTTTTTTTTGCGCGACAGGTTCCACCGCGACAATGTCAGAGGCCGGACAGTATGTTCGAGCTCATCCGAGTGATGACAGTGAGTACTCATCAGGCGAATACGATGAGGAACGTTCAGCATGTCCGTTGGATTCAACAAAGCCAAACGAAGACATCCATGTGACAGCGGAG